CACCACCTTTTTAATATATTGAAAATGACAACCACATATTAAACCAACTAAAGTTGAATGAAAGCTGGTGATCTGCATTTACATTTTTTTTTTATAAAAATGATTATAAGTCAAGTTCCAGCTTTGTGCCTTTCACTGTTTAAGAGTTTCCCGCAATTGACGTAATGGTTCAAAACAGAATTTTTGCCGATTCACTCCCATTTTTGTGCCTTGTCTCACTCACGGGCACTCAGCCAAAACTTACTCACGAGCAGTCAACCAAAGAGATTATACTAATTTGATATTTTTGTTTTGACAGAATGCCCGAATGGACGATTCGGTTCTGGTTGCCAAGGCGTCTGTAACTGTCCTGTAGATTCTGTGTGCAACCGAGTTGACGGTTCATGTATATGTAAACACGGCTTGACTGGTACCGGATGTGACATTCCGTGCGATTCCACTCACTATGGCCCGAATTGCTCTCAGACTTGCGACTGTAAGAATGGCGCATCCTGTGATCGTTTCCATGGTAACTGCGTGTGTGGACCAGGTTGGATCGGACCGAGATGCGACCAACCCTGTCAGAGCGGATTTTATGGGGACCGATGTGATAGCAGATGCCGTTGCTATAACAACGCACCATGTGACCCGATTGATGGCGCGTGTCAGTGCACTGCCGGATGGATGGGTACATATTGTACGGCACCCTGCCCTGAGGGGCGTTATGGCGCAGACTGTAAATACGTGTGCCAGTGCTCACAGCACGCAACGTGTGACAGATATGATGGATGTCAATGCCATACAGGGTGGATGGGCACACACTGCAATGAAACGTGCCAGCGTGGTTACTATGGCGATGGATGTGTAAACAAATGCAATTGTCCACATGGAGTACCATGTGACCCTGTCAACGGCGCGTGTACTGGTGAGTATATGGCTTCAGACGACTAAATGAGTCGTAGCATACAATATGTAATAACCATCACGTGATTTTATGTGTTGTCAATACCTTAGTAGTGACGGAATGTTCTGCAATACAGTGAATGACAGAAAACTGTACCGTATTTCTAATCTTATTTAAACATGTTTGTAAATACAGTGAATGACATAAAACTGTACCGTATTTCTAATCTTATTTAAACATGTTTGTAAATACAGTGAATGACAGAAAACTGTACCGTATTTCTAATCTTATTTAAACATGTTTGTAAATACAGATTCTTGGCTTTTTTTTTACAATTTAAATATATGTAAATATAATTGTTATTGACTCAAATCGTCCAAAGGGCTGTGGTCGTCGCGCCGCCTCAGTCCTGGTCGTTATGGAATCGCGTAAAATACATTGTTTGTTTACAGGAATTTCGAACACGCGCTGCGCGACGACCACCATCCTTTAACATTGTCTATTATTTTCGTATTGTGAATTTGAATTCTACAACTCAAACTGACCAACCCAGAAATAGTATTTAGACATCGTCGTAGTTCAAAGTAATATTAATAAGATAGGTTATAAAATGATTATAATAACCACAGGTTTCTGCAGTTCACTGTAACAGCCCTAAGATATTTAACAGTCAGCAAACTGTTTTGAAAAGAGTTCTCAAGGCTCCCTCACCCCTGACATGAACCCTAACACTCAAGCCCAAAATGCCCCTCCAAATAATTATAAGTTACTAGTACATACAATTGGGTACTGGAGAGGCAGGGTTAGAATTATAGTTATGGGTGAGGGAACTCTTGCCACTGTTTTCATTTAAACAAAACGATTTGTCCATTTCATTCTGTCCACACCATTTGTCCATCTCGTTCTGTCCACACCACTATTTCACATAGCATGAACCTGAACGCATTAAAACAGTCTATGACAATGTGTTCACCATTGGTTGCTATGACAATGTGTTCACCATTGGCTGAGTTTATAAATGCTTATGCTTAGACGTGTATTTGTTGAGTTCAGTCATATTATTTTTGTAATTTTATCACTAATAATTAATATGATGTTTAATCGCACCAACAGAATGCCCAGATGGTAGCTATGGTTACCAATGCAAACAAGTGTGTGAATGTCAAAACAACGCCAAGTGTGATTCAATTGACGGGTCATGTGACTGCCCTGCTGGTTGGACAGGAAGATCATGTGACGTGAGATGTGACGAAATGCATTATGGACCCAATTGTGAGTCGACGTGTATTTGTCAAAATGGTGGCATTTGCGATGCTGTTGATGGACGCTGTACATGTATGCCGGGATGGAAGGGTGAGGACTGCGCTAGCAGATGTGCTATTGGCTACTATGGGCGCGGCTGTTCCAAGAAGTGTCGGTGCCGAAAGTTGACAATGTGTGACCCCGTCTCCGGCAAATGCAAATGTGATCCAGGGTACCGTGGGCGTCGCTGCAACAAACCTTGCAAAACAGGTTACTATGGAGATTGTCGGCAGAGATGCAATTGTCAAAACAACGGCACGTGCAATCACGTGACTGGATGCGTCTGCGCACCTGGTTGGATCGGCGATAATTGTGACAATAAATGCCCACCTGGATACTATGGTGACCAATGTCAAACACTTTGCGATTGTAAACACGGCGGTCATTGCCACCATATTGAAGGATGTCAGTGCTTACCCGGATGGAAGGGTCCTGATTGTAGCGATCCTTGTAACCATGGCTACCATGGCGAGGGCTGCAATCACATTTGTCCGAGTACGTGTTCAGAAAATGGTGCTTGTGACCACGTGACAGGCACATGCTTGTCATGTCCAGCAGGATTGACAGGCTCGTTGTGAGTAAATCTAGTTACTGCATTCTTTTTATCCAATTTGATTAAAGCGTGGTAGTCGTTGCGCTGCGCATGTGCGAGATATAAACAAAGATGGCGACTTTGACTGTTGCGCAGATCAACGAGTACGAACTGACACATCTCCAAGCTGAAATTAGGTAATTTTCATGTGATTGGAAGGTATCGAAGGAGTCACCGACGGTAATCAGTACAAGTCGCACTCAGGTCTAACCTCATACTTGCGATTTCCATTTGAAGAGCGCATTGGATTGTGGGAAAATCAATGTTTATCAACACAAATGTCGAACATGCACAGCGCGACGACTACCGCGCTTTAAGTATTGTTATACTAGTATTAATTTGCCCAATCGTAAATTGAAAGGAAAATGTATGTGACAAACAAAAGTGTATGTTGTCACGTGTTTTCCCGCTGTAAGCTATTTTGTGAATATTTATACCAATCACATTTCATGTGACTGTTAATATTACCATGTTACTACTTTGTAGGTGTGACAGTTCCTGTCCAGAAGGGTTCTATGGGCCTGGGTGCAATGAAATTTGTTCCTGCGTTGTCAACCATCTTTGTGACCCGGTCACAGGAGTTTGTATCGGTATGTTTTCACATGGGTGTTTGTCTAGTTGGCAGTGAGCTGACAGTGGGCCGACAATGGGTTGGTAGCAAACTGACAGTGAGCAGATAGTTAGTAGTGGACTTACAGTAGTGTCAGAAGGCAGACAGTGGATTGGCAGTGGGACGTCAATGGGTTGATAATGGACTGACAGTAGGCTTGTAGTTGGCCACCGCAGTAAGTCGAAAGTGGTTTTGCATTGGACTGACAGTTGGCTGGCTGTCAGTGGGTCTAGAATGGGTTTACAGTGGGATGACAGTTGGTTGGTAATTGGCAGATAATGGGTTGGCAGTCGGCAGTAAGCCGATAGTTAGTAGTGAACTAACAGTGAATTGTCAGTAGGCAGACAGTGGGTTGGCAATGGGCCGTCATTTGGTTTGTAGTAGCAATGGGCTGGGGTGGATTGACAGAGGGCCGGCAGTGGGTTGGTAGTGTTTACTGTGCAATAATGAGCAGATTTTACCATTAACATAATTATTTCTTTTTGTAGTGTCCTCCACATTTCTGTCGACCCAATCGGTGACACAGTCTGTTGAAGAAGGGCTCTCTGAGGTTCGCACTAAAAATGAGTTCACCGAGGTCCGGCCAAGAAGTGAGTTCTCAGAGGTCCGACCAAGAAGTGAGTCATACCGCACAACTATGATCACACAAGTAGAAAAGAGCAAATCAAACCAGACTGCAACTTTTCGGTCTTCTGGCATCACACAACTTTCCAAAAAAACAGATAAAATAACTGAAAGACAATCGGAAAGAAAAACGTTGTTTAGGACTACTCCCAGCCAAGTCATTCTGTCCAGCACCATCAAGGAATCTGAACGAGAAGAGTCTACGACACGCATGCACAGTGAAACCATCTTAACGAGTCCAACAGTCGCAAAACTCACCAAAACAAGTCTTCAATCCACTGCCCATGTTGGAATATCTACAACTGACATGACGTCACTTCCGGGGAGTTCATCGAATATAATTTCCAATATGGTGTCGCCAAAATTAGCGATTCCATCCTACAGCGTATCACATCGAAATGATGACGTATCTACAACAACAATTAGCACAAACAACTTTGACGACGTAGACATTGACCAATCAGCTGAGGAGACAAGTGACACCAGAAACATGCGTGGCACAGTTCAGCCAATTCATAACAAAGCGTCTGCCTATGTGACAAACAGTCCACCTCATTATTCAAGAATGATTACTGCCGATACACTTACCAATCAAACTATTGAATACATATCGGCAACCCAACTTGACTTTAAAATGAGAACTAAACCGGAAACCTTCACTGCTATTGGCTTCGGCACTGATGTTGGTCAATTGGCCTCTAAATCAAATAAGAATGTCAGAATGCATACTGATAACCCGAATGACGATACTAATGAAAATTTAGACAGTACCGATATGATCAAAATATTGTCAACGAAATTGGACAGTACTACTGATATCGCCGATTTAGGCAGTACCGATATGACCAAG